TTTGTGCAGCAGAAAAACTGTCTGCTGGAACAACCGTTGCAGCATCCCGTCGCTGACGTTCACCACTAGCGCAGGGTAGATGACGGCATGCAAATCGACACATATGCAAATTACAGAATATGCTTACATCGCTGCTAAAAAAAGAATTACTCTCAATTTAACGCTGAACAAAAAAAGCACGTCGATTATCACCAACAAAGCCAGGTGTAATCCAAAAGGTTTTAAGTAGCGGATGAAGAAAATCCTAATTGAATCAAAGAGGGTTCAACTCTAATCCAAGGATTTATCTTAGGTAAATAAGGTAAATCCTAATCCAAGGATTTATCTTATCCACTGCTTTCCCATATCCTCATCTTAATCCACTTTTGCTCCTCTCCCCTTCACTCTCCCACCAATCGCGACGTATGTGCGTCACCTCTTCGGCGGTTGCCCGAATGGTCGCTTACTTTTACGTGGGTACCACGCATTAAGGCACATTGCTCAGCGATTGCCGATAAGGCAAGCAACATTTCCTGCCCCAAATCTCCGTCACCATGCCGCATTCAGCGTCGCTATTTGTTACATGTACACTTAGTAGATCAATGATTGATTTTATGATCAAAAAAAAAAAAACTCCGCAAGTCGATAAGAGTATCTTATCGTGTTCTAGAAGTGGCAGTGTTCGTAGTGAGGTAGTGATCCTCAACACAAATTAAGGCCATTTCGAAACAGCTAATATTTTGCAAATTGCTTTTGTTCGGGATCCTTTGAACTGATAGTCCCGTCAAGAGATGAAAACGAATGCCAGGATCGCCAGCAGCAAGCTAGTCACTAAAACGATGCAACATTGGTCAAAGTTTTCAGCTCCATAGCTGGAGAAGCAGATGTTTTGCTATAAGCTATAAGACAGATATGCTATAAGGCTGATCACGGTAATTAGGGGGGTAAAAATCTGCTTGAATATTTTTCTAAAAGTTTTTTTCAAAAACAACGTCCTGTTGTGGCGCTAAGTCAAGACGTATACAGCTTATTGGGTCGAATCGTCTTAACTATAGATAAATATTTTTTTTGCATATATTATAAGTAACAGCCTTTAAAATTTCCAGCACATTTCATTGCCTTCTAACAACTACTTCACAAATGGCATTTTTGGTTTTACTTAATATTATTAAGCACTTAATATTAAATAAATATTTAATAAATGGCCAACGCACGGGCTGCCCGTGCGAAGATGCGTTTTTTGCAGAGTTCCCCGCA